TAAGTGGCTACAAGACAAAGCTAAGGATATTCCACTGTGAACTAATTTGAACCTTATTAGAAGTAAAAGATTTTAGGCTGTGCTCTTTGCTCCATCTACTGCAAGAATAAAAACTGTTCCCAGCAATCAGACTGTATACATTCTAAAAAATGCCAACATCACTTTGAAAGGATGCACAGTTACTGTCAAGGGCCAGAACTTTAATCAACCCGACATAAAGCTTAGTCTCCTTAGAAAAAAGCAGCAGTTCTGGGTTGACAAATGGCAGGGAAATAGAAAGGAGCTGGTTTACTGTTAGCATTATCTAGGGTCACACAAAGAATACAATCAAGGATGTTACACTGGGCTCCCATTACAATACAAGCTCTGTTAATATACACTTTTCAATCAGTTTCATTATTTTGTTATTCAGGAGTCAGTCTCTTGTTGAAATCAGAAATTTCCTGGGTCAAAAATACAGTTATTAGGGTTTTGATGAGGGGAGGTGTTACTCGTTCTGTTTCTCAAGCCCAGAAGAATGAATGAATCCTCGAAGGAAATGATACTGAACTTCCTTAAAGTTCAGCTGCTTTGATTCAGCAAGACCCAAACCCAGCAGGGAAAGCACCAAACCCTATAGCTCCAAGTCTAGTATTTAGGGATTTAGTTTCAAAGAACTTAAGTAAGTGACTTCCTCTCCAGCCTTACTGCCTGTAACATAAACCTATTTCTTGGGCTGGTTCTACTCCCTGTATACAGCTCTCCTTGGCAGACATTCCACAGTTCTGGCATCTCTAACATCTTGGGGTCTCTATTGCAACCCAAGCTCCACTTTCACAGCTTTATACAGTGGCTCCTCACGTCTTCCTCACAGGGGCTCTGACCCTGCTACATGTTGCCTGGTCTCAGTGGCAGTCTGAAACATGGAGGAAGATTACGTCTTTGACCTTTCATCTTTCATGCCTCCAAACCAGTACCATGTGGACAGCACTGCCATTTTCTTCTGCCAGCTGGGGATGGAGCCTAGCCCCTGTGGACCACAGCTGCAGGAGATTCTGTATGCTCAAGCTGGTGAAAAACTGCCCCTAGATAACTGCCTTTTAGGAGCAGGAAACCTCTTAGGCTCTCTCCTTTCCCAAGTCAGATCCTTTAATGGGTGCAGTCTTGTCCTCAGGATACATTTCCTATTGTCACAGTACAAAACAGGAGGCCTATCATTAATGGCTCTAATTTAACAATTAGAGCCTTTTTTCCATTGTAGACCTGCATAAGAATAATCAGTAATAACAATGCCATACTCAACATTAGGTTGTCTTGACATGTCCTCTGCCAAAGAAATTAGCTCATTACTTTTTAATTTTTATCTCATGAACATTCTCAGGATATGGGAAGAATGCAGCCTGATCCTTTGCCAAAATATGACAAGAATGGTCCTGAGCCCAATTGGTAATAGAACCCTTGTTCTATGATCCCTCCTGATCCAGGCCTCCACTGTCTACCCTTCTCTCAGAATTATTCTCTTCCAAGCTCACACTAGAACAGTCCATTAAGCTGTGCTTATAGCACTCAACTGCTTTTCCAGCCTAAGTTCCAAAATCTTCCCTCAAAATAGTTCAAAGGCATAAAAGTCACATGGTCAGACACACCACAGCAATGGCCTCACTCCTGGTACCAATTCTTACATTACTTTCTTTTGTATTGCTGTGCTAAGAATACCCTGACAAAGAGCAGCTTTGAAAAGAAAAGGTTTATTTGGCTTACAGTTACAGAGGATATAAAGTCCATTGTGACAGGGAAGGCATGGCAAAAGGAGCATGAGGCTGGCTTGGCAGCCAAGAAACAGGGTGATTACATTTCATTCACAACAGGAAGCAGAGAGAAAAAGTCTAGGAAGTGGGGTCAGGGTATAAAACCTCAAAGCCTACCATCAATAACATACTTCCTCCAGCAAGGATCCAACTTCTAAAGGTTCTACAACCTTTCCAAACAGTGCCACCACCTGGGAACCAAGTGTTCAAACCTATCAGGGACACCAGCCTATCAGGGACATTTCTTATTCAAACTGCACACTGGTTTTCATTGTATTTCATAGAAATACAGAATAAATGTAAAGATGTAGAGTTATGAAGCACACCAATAAGGTAAACAGCCTTTCCCTCCTTATCTTGGTTTGGGGCATCTCAGAGGCAGATCCTTCAACAAAGATTTAAGTACTGTTGAGTAATCCATTTGTAAGTAAAGAAATGCTTAAAATAGAAAATAGAGAAAAAAAAAAGTAGTCCAATAAAATGTAAAAGTAGAAAACAAAAATTGACTAATACTAAAAACTGGCAATACTTTTAAAACCTAAAAAAAATATAAAGAAATGCTCATACTTGCTTTAAGCCATAGTGATCAGCAATACTGCAGATTAGCTCAGACATTGCTTGAACTTCATGAGATTTTTTCATATTCATAAACTCAATTGCCTTCATAGTTTGACCTGAATGAAAATAAATAAAATTAAAACACAGCTATTAAAAAGAATTTTAATGAATTGTCACCTGATATTCGTGTTTTTCTAAATTGAATACGAAATGATATTGATTCTATTGTGATGTCTGGGTGAACTCTATTAGTTCAGCAGTTACAATTCAAATGGAACAAAATAAAAAAGATTCACAGAATACCATTAAAATTGCATGATACAGCAGGCAATTAGCCCTAAATGAAAAAAAAATAAAAAAACCAAAAAACAAAAGCTGTACTACAAAAGAAACTTTTCCATCAAGGGACAACTTAAAGTAAAAAGATAAGGCACAAAGTAAGACTACCCAATAGAAAAATCAGGCAAGTATGGGCAGTCATTTCACTACCTTTACTATCCAACACAGTAACCACCAACCACCAACCACAGTGATTTTTTTTTCACTTATACTTAAAACTACGCAAGTAAGACTGAATTAAATCTCCACGTTGTACTAGTCACATTTGCAGTGCTTAACAGTCATATATGGATGGCTATTTTTTTTTCCACAAAAAGAAAATTTAACGGACCTTCAAAATTCTGAGGTAGACACTAGTAATCATAACTCTTTTTTTCTTTTCTGGTCTTTTTTTAGAAAATTAATTTATTGAGAATTTCATATATGCATATAAGGTGTTTTGATCAAATCCATGTCCACTCCTTCCCTCCAACTCCTCCCATATCTCCCCATTACTTTTTTCTGACAACTTCATGTACTCTTCTTTTATTTTTTTTTAATGGGGCTTTTTGCTACTCTAATATCTCCCCTTCTGAAGAGGTAACCCCAGTATCTTTTAAGGATTAAATAAGAGCTCCCAATACTTCCGACATTTTTGGCCTTTGGAATGGAGTATATTGCTAAGAGGCCCAAGGACATTTTGAATTTTAGCCAAGAAACTAGCTACTTTTCTTTGAGGTCTTTTTACCCTAACTGCCTAGCCAATTCCTACCTCCTATTCTTAATGGATGGCTATTTTCTACTATGATGTACACAGCCACAGACCATTTCAGAACATTCTATAACACAGCACCTTAGAAAACACACTGTATGCTTGTGCTGGATAGCTTTACCTGTCAACTTGATGGACCTGGGTAGAGGAGGCCTCAGTAGGGGAACTTTCTCCCTTGGGCTGGCCTGTGGTCATTTTCTTGATTGTTGAGTGATATGGGAGCCCACTGTGGGTGGTGCTACCCCTCAGCAGTTGGTCTTGTATTATATAAGAAAGCAGGTTGAGCACAGGTCAGGGGAGCAAGCCAGTAAGCAGCTATCCTACATGGTCTGTGCTTCAGCTCCTGCCTCCAGGTTTCTGCCCTGAGTTCCTACCTTAGGCTCCCTCAGGGATGAATCTGAGAGATGCAAGCCAAATAAACCCCTTCCTCCCAAAATTGGTACTGGTCAGTGTTTTGTCACAGGAACTGAAAGCAAACTAGAACAGTATTCTAGAATTCAAATATATTAAAGTGGCCAAGGTGGTCCACATCACCAGACAGATGGGAGTGGTAGGGCAAGGATGGTTATTGTGCCATGACAGTGTTCACATATGATGTGCCTGAGTGTGGGCTGAACCTCAGATCACAATAAGAAAATATATAAACCTTGATGATAACGTCTTTCCAGGTAGAAGTGGTGGTTAAATGATGGCCTTCTGTCTCAGATACCAGCCTAGAAAACAGATAAACTGAGAAACTCCAGAATGGGAAACATACTCTCACCCATGCTCACTTGTAACTAGCTTGTATTCCCTACATTGCAGAGTCAGCTTTCTATTACTGACTTAAGACAAGATGATATCCATCAAGAACTGGGTGGTGGTTTCACTGTTTGTATATGCTACTCTTACCCACTTCGATACCTAAGATAGTCTTTAAGTTTAGACTGTGGGGGAAGAGCCAGACAAACTATTTTTAATGAGAGGTTGACTCAGTTATGGCCAATTAGCAACAGCTGGGATAAAGCAGTTAGTCCTTTAGGTACCAGTGGACTACAGCACTGAAAGCAATGTTGCTGATGAGCCAGAATACCCTTACCAAGAGCCCTGAGTCCTTTGTTTTGCTCCAGAAGAAACATGATGAAATAATTTTCATTAAAATATTTAGAGAGATAAAAGGGAAACAAAAATAATAATGAAAGAACTGGATTCTAAGGGGAAAAGCTCCCTCTAAAATCAAAAACTTCAATGGATCTTCTTTAACTGAGTAATCAATTATCACCAGTAATAGGATAAAATTACATGTGCCTCCTAGTGAGATACATGAAAAAGCAATCCTTTACTTAGCATTCCTGTCAAAACTGTATAAAAAGCCTAATCATAGGTAAATAATCAAGCAAACCTCACTGTATGCATCACAGCATCAGTATCAGGAAAACAAAAGTCTGAAGAACAGTTCCAGATGGAAGAGATTAAACAGTACAACTAAATGTCATGCACGGGCCTGGACTGATTCCTACAGAAGAAAAAAAAAGCTACAAATAGTTTTTAAAACTTAAAACTTGACTGTAGTCTGCTTATTAGACAACGTTACTGAAGCAATGTTTAAATCCTAAATGTACAAAAAGGCTAGGGATGTATAGGACAATGTCCTAGTTCTTAGGGGATACGTGCTAAAATACCTGCAGGTAATATGACATCGGTAACAAAGGTTCAAAGGACTCAGATGCAAAGAAAGCCTGTCTGTGGACTTATAGCTAACAGGCAGAGTCTTAACAAATGGCAAATCTAGGTGAAAAGTGTCCAAAATTTACTGTAGTATTCATGTAACATTTCTGTAGGTTTGAAGTCTTCAAGAAAAAAAAAAGTTGAAGAAATAAGGATCAAATGAGATATATTAGGTCAGATATTCACTATTTTATTATTAATTTAACAATTACTATTTAACCCACTATCAATACTTCTAAAGCTGATCCATACCTCAGCACTGAACACAGCCATTTTTTAAATCCCAATGACCTGATCACTACCATTTAATCACAGTGTATAATCTACTGACATTTAATGTAATTATCAATATAGCTGAGTTTTAATCTATCTTGCTACTTATTTTTTTTTAATTTGGGCCATCTCCACTTTCCGAAATTTATGTTTCCCTCATATCCCCAACAACACCCATTCACTTTTCTTACACTGCAATAAAACTAATGCAGACATTTGTCAGAGCTCACCGCAATAAGTGTTTAAGAGTCGGGAACCATCTGTGGTAAAGAAGAGATCTATACGTTGTTCTTAATATGACATACAAGAGCCTATTCTTGTTATGAACTAACTTGTCAATATCCATCAACTAAGAATATGATGGACAGACATAGAAACATGAGCCGTGTACTGCTTGTAAGTACCCATAAGGCACAAATACACATTACAATCACACATACCAACTCTCTGTTTTCTATTTTCTCGAAGGGCTGTAAGCAGCTCCTCAAAAGGAGTGCATATTCCCAAAGTTTGTACGGAATAGTGTTTTGCCACCAGAGCAAAGGCTTCCACATTCAGCAGCTTCTGGGAAGTTTCACAAAATACTTTGGGAAGAGCAGTAAATCCTAAAAAAAATTCGGAACAGAAAAGAAAGATTAGCAATAATTAATATTTAAGCTTATAAGACTTTAAAACAATAAACTAATGACATTTGGCTTTTACAGCAAGTTATATATTTTCACTTTCAACTTTTGGCTGTATTTCTAATTTCTAATAGTTCCTTTGGATTTGTTATTTAAACTATTAGCTATTTGTAACACTGTTTTAACATTTTCTTCAAACATATATTTAAAGATAAAATTAGAATTTGGTTTTCCCCCCTAAGAGCAACAACAACAAAAGATTTAAGTCTGAACAGTAATGTAGTTATTTAATTGTGCAGTTTAAGGAAGTCTACCCTTGCATCTCTGTTATTCCCTATCTACATGGTACACTGCTGCTCAATCTTATTTTTCTGTGGCCATTTTTAAGAAATGTCAATTTGTTTCTAAGGTTTTATTATTTTGTTCATTTCAATTTGTCCATACTGGTTCATAAAACCTCTGGACTGGAGTCCAAGTAAGCCCATTTGCTGAAAATTATTTTTTAAAACTAAAACAAAGCCCAACAAAATAAAAACAAACCCACAAACCAATATATCCAGTTGTTAAATAAAGTATGCAAAACACTCACTTTGTGGAAGCTGGTACAATTTAGGGACAATTTTGATTCTACCAAAAAGAAACAAATCTCAAACTATACTTACCATGACATCCTGTCTAACATGGCTGATGCTTATGGTTACTTGAAAAAAAATCCACTTAAACACAAAGAAAAATGATATCTGGCAAAACAACAACAAAGCTGATGGAAGTCTGCAGAATTCGACATGAAAACTGTGCTTAAGCTAGTATCTATTTAAAGCTGGTATCACTTAAGTTGGTGGCAGTAATGTGTGCTAAATTTATTATTAAAAAGAAAATTAGAGATATGTAACTTCTACTTTTGAATCAAATAGAAAGATTACAAAGTTACTATGGTTATTATACATATATACACATATATTATAAAAATTTTTGGACATTTTACAAGCTGAATTTACTGGTGTAGCCAAAAGTAATAAAATCACCATCAAAATATTTGGGCATGATACAGAAGGGAAAACTCAGTCAACTATTAAGTGAGACTCTTAGGGTTAAGAGCAGTCTCAACATCCCCAGGTTCCAAGGGAGCAATTTCTTAGAGTGTGATAGAATAAGAGTACTAAATCTTGGGAGCACAGGGACTATTACAGTAGTCAGTTATTGGACAGTGCTGCCAACAGAAAGAAATGTGATGTTTCTGTTGGAAAAGTAAAGGTTCAAGTCAACTTAACTATTCTACTGAAAAATTCTTGAAAATCTTCCAATCTGATCTGAATTAAATTATATTAATTTGCTTATAGGAACCCCAGAAATTTTGAGAAATTGGACATATAAGGTACAATAATATTGTATTTTTCAACAATGGTTAATTTTTTTTAAGTTCTGATTTGATCTAATAGTTTGTCTTTAAAGTTAAAACCAGTTCACTTGGCACGGAATTCCACAATTAAAATATTTTTACAGTGAAAGTACAGCTGAAGTTCTTTTTTTTTTTTTTTCAAGTGACTCACTCTGTTAACTTTCACAACTTGCTATTTTCAGAGATGATACAGTTTTTTGAGATTTTAAGAAGTGTCAATGACCTTGTCTTTCCTTCCATCTGTGAAGCAGTGAGAGAGGCAGTTAAGGGGCAATGGTTCAATGTCCAAGTCCTCAAAGTGCTTCCCTGGTATTCGGAAAATCAGGTTGTAACTGCCAGAAGCCACAGTGCTATTGAGACTTAGTTCATCCTTAGTTGAACATACAGACTCCCCACCCCTACCTCCACATAGGAAAAGTTTGTTTCCTAATTTGCTGCCTGCCACACCTGCAAATGATGTGGCTTGATCTTCTTTCCCTCAACTCCCTCGACTGGAAGGTCTGTTCTTCCTTCAGCATCCACTCGTTTTATTTAAATACTCTTATCTTTTTTGTGAAATCTATATCACTATTCTACAGAACTTTCCTATAAGATCAGTTACAAGACAGTTTTTAAAATAGTTAACTGGGGAGCCAGTGAGATGGCTCAGTGGGTAAAGGGATCTGCCACACTGCCTGACAACCTGAGTTTGACCCTGGGACCCACAAGGTGGAAAGCCAGAACTCATTATCTCAAGCTGTTTTCCGACCTCCACACATGCGCCCTGTAGTATGCATGCACCCACACTGACAAATCATGCATACATCATATACACACAGACAGGAATAAAATTGTTTTAAAAACAGGCTAACCAGGAAAGAAGCAAGAGAGGTTATTGTCTATAAACATGTGACCAGGATACCTCTAACTTGTTTTGATTTTAATTTCTATATCAGATACCAATGTTCAAGGAAAAATCAGAGTCACATATACAGATTGTAAAAAAGAAAAACGCCCAAAATTTCAAAACTAGAAAACCAATAAATGTATATTTCTAATTTAAATAAAAATAAAATCTCAGAAATACATTATCTTCCTTGAAGGTCATATAACACGTTAAGGAGGTTGAGAGCATCAGGTTTCACAAGAACTCACTGCTCTATTGCTAACACATAATGCATGTGTAATACCATGTGCAGGCACCATGCTAAACATTTTACCTATCATTTGAGCTAGTTGATTAGTGCTCTTATCTCATTTGCAGAGAAAAAAACCCAAGACCTAGGGAGGCTGTAATTGATCTAAATGTGCACACACAAGAGTTAGGGTAAGGAAATGGGGCAGTCTGACTTTATACCTCACTCTTAATTCCTATTCAATTAGCATGCCAAGACAGCAAGAAAATTAGCAGTAAGCATCAGAAGACTGACTGTCAAAATCAGGTCTGGTAACAATTCCCTCTGGTAGAGATCAATACATGTTGATATAGGATATTTCACATTCACTTATCTTTGTATCTACTTTCTTCACTCTGCTTAACTTCTCCCTCTCCACCAGAAGTGATCTTAATTTCCAGAAATTTAAAAAAGTAATTTGTACATACAAAACAATGTCTCTGAAAAGGAAGTAAATATTTTTATAAGATTTTGCTGTGGTATTTACTTCTAGAAACAAAGTAATATTACTGTTTCATGTTCAGTTGTAAAGCAAAAGTACTTTGCACACAGCATGAATGAATGACTGGAAGGATGGATGAATGAATGCATGCATGCATGAATGACAGTGATACTTCAATGCACTTACTATTGCAGCATCATCAACTACGAAATTCTCCTAAAACTCCGTAGTGGTTGCAATCACTGAGGCCACTACGAGGACTTCAATAGCACCACTGATCCTGTTAGGGAAGCATAAAACTTCATTTTAGCCTGAATGCCTGTATCTTAGGTGAGACAAGAGTGGTTTAGATCATGTAGAATGCAATATAAGTTAAAATACAAATACGTATTAAATTTACAGATATAACTGTATTATAGGGGCTGGGAGAATTGTTAATCACACAGCCAATGACCTGGAATTTCAGGAGGAAATCAACAGTAGTACCTTACCAATAATAATCATCACAAGTATATAGAAATATTTTGCATTTATTCCTACATAAATGTCCTACAGATGTCTTCAATTCAGAAGGTTCAAAACTGAACTGAATGTTCATATTCCCCCCTTTCCTATTTCCTGTGTTGGCAAAGAGCATTTTTATTCACCATTAAAAGTTAAAACATTTTTATACTATCTTTCATGTATCATGTGTCTTCAATTCATATGTCCAGTGACTCATCAAGCCTGACGTAAAATGGATTTTTCATTTGGAAACCTGCCCCCAACACTTTCATGGTTACCACCCTATGAATACCAGTTCTACTGCAGTCCTCATAGTGCTTTCCTTGGTAAATAGCACAATGCTCAATAAGTGTTAGGTAAGCAGGGCATGTTTTCTAAAGCGGAAATTTGCTTTTATTCAATGCAAATGTAATCAAAGTTTTTAAGGCTTTGGTTCCTATAATAGTTGGCTTTTGGGCTATATCTTTGATAATTGTTTAATAGCATTTAACAAAATATTAAATCTGTCTTACTGAGCTTTGAAAAATTAGTTAAATTCTATGAACATTTGACTCTATCCATCAAACTGAAATGTATCAAGGGAGAAAATAAAATACATACTGTTACTTTTAAAATAAATCAATTTACATGACCCAATTATGTGCTAGGAAATGATTTGCCTAAAGTACTCTAGCTTAATGTACAGTTGCATATAAAATGAAAAAATATGTTATTTAAGCACGAAAACCATGTTTTGGGATGGAATAAGGTATAATTAACAAGGAACTGACATGCAGGTCCTTACCAAACCAATATTAATATCATATTAAATGTATAAATACATGTAACCATTCGAAAAGCATTTTCACATTTAACTATATTATAGCAAAAATGAAATTAAATATCAAACTGGAAAAACTTAACCATAGTATTTTAACAGATTCTTAACATGGCTTAATTTGCAAGCAAATAAGGTACAATGAAACCAATTTAGAAATTCATTTGCTAAGTAAAAAACAAAAATCCCATATAAACTAATTCAGGGGTGCCTACTGTGTGAAAATTATCATGGAATATTGCTTCAGTTCCTACTAAAGTGTTGTGCTGACTAGGATTTTCATCAACTTGACACAAATTAGAGACACCTGGGAAGAGGGACCCTCACTTGAGGGATTTACACCCATCAGACCGGCCTGTGGGCATGTCTGTGGGGCATTTACTTCATTGCTGGTTATTGTAGGAGGGCCCAGCCCACTGTGGGTGGTGTGATCCCTGGGTAGGTGGGTCTGGACTGTGTAAGAAAAAGTAGCGAGCAAGCCAGGGGAAAGCAAGCCAGTGAGTAGCATGCCTCCAGGTCTCTGTTTCCATTTCTGCTTCAACCTCCTGCCTTTGGTTCCTGACCTTACTTCCCTCAAAGATGCACTGTGCATTGGAAGCAAAGATTAAAGGACCCTTTCCTTCCCATGTTGCTTATGGTCAGTGTTTTCTTACAGCAATAAAGATGCAAACTAGAACAAATAGTCTAAAAAAACCTCAAGAAACACAACAGTGTACAAAACCAAGAAGAGGGCTGAGGAGATGCTCAGCAGGTAAACAGCTTGCCACCTAAGCGTAAGGACCAGAGATTGGATTCCCAAAGCACATGTAAAAGCCTGGTGAGTATGGCAGCCTCCGTACAATCCCAGGAAATCCTTGGAGTAAACTGGCTAGTCAGACTAGCCAAAATGGCAAGCTGTGGGTTTAGCAAGAGATCCTACCTCAGTGTGCAGGATGGAGAGCATTCAAGGAAGACACCCAACATCACCATTGAGCCCTCACCATACATGGATGTACACATGCATGTATACCCACACATGACGAGAATGCTCATGAACACACTCCACACAAACATACAAAAAAATTTTCTAAAAATGAAAACACACTTGACTTATGGGGCAGAAAATAAGAATCTTATTCTAGAGAACTCTATTCTAGAGAATCAATTGAAGAACAATATAACAAGTGAGATAAATACATGTTTTTAAGTTAAAAGAGTAAAAATTTCCTGAGGAGCTAATGGCAGTTAATGGTTGCTGGGAGGGGAGAGACACTGTCTTCCCTGGCATAGCCACTGGCAAGTTACACAGGCTCTGGTAAATAACCTCCACTTTGTTCATACAAGCACCCCAAGTAAACTCCACGGGTCACACATTGAAGAGAAGGCTAAAAGGAAAGAAAGAAAGAAGGTGTTCAGCAGGAGGGGACAAGAGAAAGTAACGAAGGGTGAATATGACCAAAATACATTACATACATGTGTGAAGTTACCAAAATAATAATTAAACCTTCCTTTACATCCTAAAAAACAGTGCCAGGCGTGGTGGCTGTCACTAGGGAGACCCTGTCAAAAAACAATCAACAAACAAAACAAAACAAAAAATTATGTTAAAAAAGGATAAAAATGTTGAAAATTTACCCGAGACATGAAATGAACTAGATCTGAATAAAAGCAATGTCACACAGTTGGAAACTGAATCATACACATACAATACACTCACACACACTCACACACATACATTTCTCAAAAGTGTCTCCTGGGCAGTGCTCAGTGCATAGGACTTCCTGCATTAATAATAAGTAGAATAATTTAATTCTAAGATGTTTAAGTGGGAAAAAACTAGAATAAAATTCTGCTTAGAAGGAATATTTCCTTTTTTTCACTGTTTTATACAGTTACTGATGTCCATTATGAAAAGTTAAGAGATCCAGAGAAATTTGAAAGGTTAATCATCCAGTTCAGTCTCTATTGCTGGACAGATACACAAACTGATTGTTAGGCTTTCCCAAAAGACTTTATTAGTACCCATTCCTAGCCTACAAAAACAACTGGTATTATGAACTTACAGTGTACTTTGCCTAATACCTACTAACCGCCTACTGACAAGGCATTGTTCCAAAACAATGAGCAAAATGCTCTTATATTACTGAATGTGGAAACAGTTTTTTTTAAAAATGCATTAGTACTATTAACTCATGGTTTTGATAATAAAGGTAATTACTTGCTCAATAAGGCAATAGAATTTTACTTGCTGAATAAGGCAGTAGATTTGAATATGGATCTGAAGAGCTCGTACTGAGGAGTCAGATGCTGGGAAATCAAGGATCTGAATCTTCCACAAAAAGCTGTGTCCCTGGAAAATTAATTAAAGTGGCAAATTCACAAATCAGGAATAAAAGAGTTAATTTTTCAAGGTGATATAAAGATTGAGAGAAAACAGGGTATGGAAGGTAGAGTCCTGGCTTGCAAGCATGAAGGCTTGAGTACAATTCCTAGAACCCACATAAAAAGCCAGACATGGTAACACAGTGTTGCAGTCCAGTGCTGTGAAGGTAGAAACAGGCAGATCTCCTGGAGTTCACTGGCCAACCAGCCTAAATGGTAGGTCTCAGGTCCCAATGAAAGACCCTGTCTCAAAAAACAAGGTGGATGACTCCTAAAGCTAACCTTGGCCCCCACATGCACACAGACACACACAGACACACACACACACACACACACACACACTCACACACACACACACACAGTGAATGATGACTGAATTCAATTATTAGGATATGTAAGGAAAGGTATTTCTCCCACTATGTGAAAACTAATTAAAACCATATGAAAATTTTGCTTTGCAGTTGAAGATAGTTTCTTTCCATTTTCTTTCTTTTGAAAGCTAGCATGAGTCATTCACTCAACAATTATTCATGGAGCATGTAATATATGCCAATATTTTCCATGTGTTGGAATACAAGTGATTCCTGCTCTTTACAAGTTGCCATAAGTACAGAATATTGCAAGAGTAAATTGAAGGGGTGCCTAACTTTCCAACTTTCAATGAACAAAACTTAAGATTTCTTACAAGCACAAATTCTAAAAATTATTCTTTTCAGTATGAGAAGCAGCTAGCCACTTGTACAAATTAACAAATATACATGGAGAAATACACCTGTGACTAGCAAACTGCAGGACACACTATATATCAATGATTTTAAAGAACTAGTATTTATGAAGTGCTATTATAAAAGACACCCCCCCACCACTCACCCTTCACCCCTGACCCCTGCCACTTTCACTGATGAAGCTCACTAGCATGGGCAAGCTCTGGAAAGCCTGGAAGCAAAGTAGAGAAATTCTAATAGCTATTGCTGTTCTTCTGTCATTTTATTTCCAAAACAGAATCTAGTTTCTTGAGGCTATGAAACCCTAGGGTCTTGAAAAATTCATGGAACCTAACATTTTATATAGAGTTTTAAAATGAATTAGTGAACACACAAAACCTTCGACATTAGCACTCTAATCAGTCTTCGTTGCACTAATGAAACAGTCTCTTAACTGGTATCTCAACTCATGTTTCTTCACCACTGTGTATTCTAGACTTCAAGTATTCTCAAATAGATACTAAAATAGGTCACCATGATGCCTATATGACTCCAAAGGTTTCTGTTCATACTTAAAACTTCTAAGGTCTCCAAAAATCCCCGTGGTCATGTCTCTGCCCGTCCCTCACTTAGTCTGTCGTTCCAGTCTGAAATCCCTTCCAGTGTTGTCTTCAGGTTCTGTCTTCTATGTGACTTTTCTTTACACTGGCACTATCACATCACACTGGGCCACTGCTATCATTTAGAATCATCTTTATTTCGTTGACTATAGATTTCTATCCCGCAG